AAGTCGAGCTTCCTAACCACCTGGCTATGATAAGAAAGCATTTTCTATTCCTTTATTTAGCAAGTACTTTTCTTTGTCCAGTAAGATTTTTAGAGATTATTATAAACACAATGTATGGTAATTCTGTTCATGTAACAATACTGAATTTATCAAAGAAACTTTTTTAAATCTTGATGTCTGTGAACAACGAACATTCTAAGATGAAGTGTCACACGTTTAGTCAGAAATAACTAGGAAAATGAATAATAAAAAAAGTATTCTCTATAAAATGCAACCGGGTTTGTTTATAACGACTACTACAAGGCCGAAACTGAGAGAATGAGGAAGTGATTATGGTGCCCCTTTTTATTCTCCCCAATTCCACCATGGTATAGCGATCACCATTATTATGGGAAAGGGAAGCGGATTGGTTGTTTAATGGGAAGGGGAGATATTGAATAACATGCTCGTGACCATGAAGCCCTGACTGTGTTGACAATGGAGGTAAAAACTGATTATGACCACGTGACAATCATCAGCAAGTCGAACAACACGTACTTCAATTTTTTGTACTTTCAGAAAGAAGAGAGAAATTTTGAGCCTGATGACTAATCTTTGCTGATGCATTCCTTACGTGATTCTAATAATTCGTCACTACTTTCAGACGTATGATTTAAATTACTTAATACAACAGTAACAACAACAATATAAGAAACGACAAAGAAAATTATTTTGCAGATTCCCGGGCGTATACTGTGTTGTGTTTCTAATAATTCGTCACTACTTTCAGACGTATGATGTAAATTACTTAATACAACAGTAACAACAATAATATAAAAAACGACAAAGTAAATTATATTGTAGATTCTCGGGCGTATACTTGTTTAGTGTACATAAACTTTGGGCGGCTACACTGAGTATTCTTGTAACACTAGTAGTGATCTTACAGCACAGCTAGTGATCAGTAAGAAACCACATCGGTTAACATTATTTATACAAATACAATGATGTATTGTAAAGATAGCAGTATGTCTTAACCCTGCACTAATCAATGGCCTATCCGAAGCCGAGTCCTTTCTGC